GACTGCACTTGGTTCCTATGTAGCCGCCACTGAGGGCTGACCGCCGGACTTTTTTAGATCTGGCGTTCATTGTCGTGACGCCGGACAAGTTTTTGAAATATTCGGTTGAGTTTGTTCATCTGGACGCCGGACAAAGGGAGCTGAGCATCGACTTCTGTTTGTCTCAGGTTCTTCAATTCACTCACTCTGAATCTGCTCTGTCTGTGTGAGCATTGATTCTTTCCTGTGCATCCTACTACTTTATTAATGACATGCGCTTGCATTGTCTGAGGTTGAAACTGAGTGGAGCTCGTTGTCTGCTGCTCAGAGAGAGTTCAAGTCGTTTGCATGCATTGTCGTTTTCATTAGGTAGTAAAGCGTCGGACAATTTTGATTTTGAGTCTTTCAAGTTCTCTTCAGTCACCTGCCAACCGACCCGTCGGACAACAAGATGAAGTGGTGGTTCCTCCTGCGCAAATGGGAGTTGAAGTTGATAGGGAACAACCTGCTGGGCCAAATGCTGGGCCAAATGCAGAAATTGGAGAAAACGAGCCAGAGGTTGATGAACAGCCTCGCCCTGTTCGAGGTCCTGGAAGAGGATACATCAATGTGTGGCAAGATGTTTTGTGCAATGTTTGTGGGCAAGTAGCGGGACAAATAAAGCTTGATCCAGGACCTGCAAATCGAGACCCGGAGACTTGGTTCATGAGAGTGAAAGAGGCAGACCGCTGGGCCTCGAAGTACCCAAAATTTCGACGCCGGACTGCCAATGTGATTGGAATGAGCGATGATTTTGCTACTGGGTGGGTTCATGAAAACAGAACCTGTTGTGGTGGAGCTGCTCCCTCATCTCCGTCGGACATGAAAAAGTGGATCCTTGCATGCTATGTTCACATCTAAGTTTCAGTAACCGTTTGACACAATGAATGACATGGAGGCTGTTGAGTGTTTTTAATTTTTAAGGGCATTCTCCTTGGACATTCAATTGTTTGGGGCCAAGGCCAGGACTTGCGGATTCTGAGAGACAATAGAGTTTCTTCATCAGCTGGAGATGTTGGGCGTGATGCCAACAAATGGAGAAGAGCTTGTGTCACTTTTGTATCATCAGCAATGACAATCGGAACTGTTAAGTGTTTTTCCCATGTCATGTCATTTGCTGACCCTTCAGTAAGCGCACTGGCAAAAAATGTACTTTGTATTGGCAGTGTGACCAAAGGTATGCATTGTGTTCAATGAATTTCTTCTGTGCAAAGAATGACCTGTGATTGTTCTTTGAGGGGCTACATGAAATGGTAAACAGTAAACATTGAGGTTTGTTCCATAAGGATTATTTCTCTCTGTCCAGGTGTGGCACGGATCTACTGGATACAAAACGGACCTTTTGCTATCATGTGTGCATTAATATCTTATTCAATCTGTCCATTTCCAGCGCCTACTTACACACACAGTGTATACACAGCCCCAAATATGGTAGCTTTGAAATGTCCCATGCCATTTTATAAATAGTCCCATACTTTACAAACAACTGTACACAACAGTCTCATACTTCTCACCATCAATCAAGCTGTAAATCACTAAACCTATAGAAATCACCAGCCCACACTGTTGTGTATGTTAACATGTTTTCTTCTCAATTCATCTCCTGTTTTTCATTATTTTCCCTTTTTCCATCAAAAAAGAGCTCGAAACATCCAAGATCTAGCTCTTTTGATCTTCAGTTTTGTTTGCGTAAACCTCGCTGATCTAGTCCTCGACTTTGTTTTGGTGACTTGCCTTTGCCCTTGCCCTTTGAGGCGCTGGTGTAGTACCCACGCGACTGAACCGTGGACGCCAGCCTCTTGCTTGTGGCCGTCATGGCCTGATGCTCTTCAGTGTTGTCTGCCTCGTAGGGCTCGTTGGGCTGTTCTTCATCCTGCAAGGCCTCTATGGCCTCGTCCTCATAGAGCTCTTCCTCCTCGCCGTACTGGTAGTCCAAGGGGTCGTCGTCCGGCTCGGCCTCAAACTGCACGAGGTCTTCCGGCACAGTCTCATACACCTGAGGCTCAGCAGCTGGCTCATCCTCATAGGTGGTGTGCCATGTCTTCCACTTGAAGTTGCCACCACGTCCACGTCCTCGTGAACCTCCAGCGAAGCCTCGGCCTCGTGGTCGTGAACCACCTGTTGCAACAGCGGGAGGATGTCGTGACAATCCCGTCAGGCAGGGTCAAAACTGCTGGGTACTGGACGCGGATCGCCTCGATGAGGGGGTCGAAGTTGTACCGGTTGGTGGCGGCCAAGAGCAACGATGAAGTCGCCCGTTCATCCAGCTTCAACCCATCCAAGAGCTTGATGGCCCGAGTCTCATCTGGGTAGGGCTCAAGCTTGGCGTCTTTCAGCTTGCGTTCATAGAGGCGGAACCGGCGAACAAAGGCCGTCACCGATTCTCCCTGCATCCGTGTCAAACTTTCGTACTCGCGGATCAGTCCTCCGCGTCTGAACAACTCCTTCTCACAGAAGGCCACGGAGAGGTCTTCGATGAGCAGCTCAAGGCCACGATCGCAGTTGTAGCGGTCGTCGCTGACTTCTTCCACTTCCAAGGCCGCGGCGTCGGTGAGTGCATCGAGGGCTCTCAATGCCTGCTCATTGCGAGGCAAGAACTCCTGAGTGATCATCTGCCATCGACCAAGGGCCTTCTTGTAGTGCCTCAAGCAGTACGGGTCGGCTTCAATGTCGCCCGCAAAGCTCGGTGGGGGCGGAACGTGCCCCGCTCTCCATTTCTTGGAACCACCAGAACCGCGCGATCCGCGCGAGCGACGCCGAGAGGAGGCGTTCGACGCAGCTGGACTGCCTGCAGGTCCTCCAGATGGCTTTGGTTGGCCACCTTCATCATTGAAGTCGTAGGGCCCCGAGCTGGAGCCACCACCACCTCGCGGTCCGACAGCAGCCGCGCCAAGTCCTAGCCGTAGTCCTCGAAGTTCTCCTCGTCCTCATTGAAGACATCGAAGTCCTCCGGCTCGATCTCGTCAGCGGCGCTGCCTAGGGCGCTCGCAGCATCAAGATCGTCATCCCATTGCCACATGCTGCCGCCAGGCGCGCAGGGCCAGACCAACCCGCGCTACCAATGCAATTACCAGGTCTGTGGAGCCTGGAGGTCCCTGGATCTCAAGCCGTGCGTGCTCTGACGGCTCACCTCTTTTCCATGGAGTCGCGACGAAGACGCAGGTCGTGCGTCGAGTGCACAAGTGTCCCACCCTCTGGTGGAGTTGAGTCAAAAGGTTGACGGCCGGCGTTCACATGGCAACATGAGTGACATGAAACTCGACATTCGCAATGTTGAAGTTTTCCGGACTGTGTTTGTTTGTATGTGTATACATATATACACAGATAGTTATATATATATATATATATATATTTGAAGAGAAATTGTTGAAAGAGCTCGCGCGATGACTCAGCCAAACCGCAGTGTCGAAAATTTCAGCAAGCCACTGACGAAGTAGATCTGGAATGGCCACTACACCTGGAGACCGAAAGATTCCGGACTTGCACCACGTACACCAGAATCCACAGGAATCACTGTGCCTCCTGTACCTCACAAGAGCGGCCTTTACAATCCTTTTCGGTGCCAACCTTCTCCGCACAGTACTTCTTTGTGACCCATCACCTTGGATTCAATTCTATCCCTCAGACTCGAAAGATCCCTAGACTGAGCTTTCGAGCAAAAGATCTTGAAAGCTCCCAAGACCCCGGACCGAGCTGGAGGGCACCAGCACCCGGAATTGTAGCTCTCCTTTGGAAGGGTCAACCACCTCGACATCCGTCCAATCACGTACTTACATACGATACAGATGGACCAGCCAGCGGTACTTCTGCGATGCAAATCATGTCCAATGAGCTTAAGATGCACCAAGCAACAAATGGAGGGTCATCCCATCGCGGATTCTTGTCGCCACCTGAACAGGTCCGTGGGATGAAGCAACAGAATCCATGGTTTTGATTGCTCTATCTCTGCTCGAATAGTTGAAACGGACGCTCGACAGTTTAATCTGCCCACGAAACTATCATCAGCATCTTTTGTCAACATTCCCTCAATGAAGTGTCCATACTTGTTCAAATGACTTGACTAGCCAAACCAGTCTACCATCTGAATGCCAGCAGCGTTTTGGTTTCAGGTTCGATGCCCACCTTGGTGGGGTCGAGTCCGGCCCACAGTGCGACCTCCTTGTTGGACCTTTCAAGGCATCCGGCATCCGGCGGCCGGCGCCTCTCATGTCAACTTTCTGAAGCACAGAGCCGTGCCTCCGCCCATGGCGATTGAGTGGCCCAAATGGTGAAGAAACGCGTCAGATTTGCACCTCGTGAACACGTCAAAACCAAAAACAAGGCGAGTGTGTTTCTTGTTTAACAGGCCGAAACCTGCTTGAACTGCCCAACCATGAGTTCTGCACCCTGACATTTGATCTCAAGCATCAGGATCAAGAGGATGCATGGGCATTGTGAACATAGCGCCACTTCCAAGCATGATACTGGAAGGTAGAGTTGTTGCAAACAAGGCAAGCTATGTTTGCGAACTAAAGTGGTGAAACGAAACACCTAAGCCAAATGGAGCCTCTAGGTGGTGTGAATTGTTTCCTGCGGCTGAAAGCCTCATTCGCAGGATATCGCTGTTTGCGTAAAGACAAACTGGGAAAAAGCACATCGCTATTTGGTTGGAGGCCATCGCTAGTAGGTTGGATGCCATTACAATTAGGCTGGAGGCCATTTCTATTAGAACTTTCGGCACCCAGCACTGATCACATTCTACACTTCTCTATGATGGAGTCCTCTTGCGGAACAGACCGAGGATCTCTCAAAAGCAAGTCGCTTTTGTCTGACAAATGTACAATGCAAGCATCCTTGCAGCCACATTGGGTAAAAGAATGCGTTCTGGCGGATCAATGTGAGTTCCCCACAGACCCTGAAGCGTGATACAAGAAGCTGAGAAAGCATTTGCCAGCAAGAACAAAAGCGTACATAATTGCCTCTCATAACATGTTTGTAGTACCTTTTGCCACGCGCAAAATAAATGCGGCAAACACCAGCATCACGCACATCCTCACCTACGTAGCGAAATTTACACACCTCGATTGAGGCCTGTGTTCTGCTCTCTGAGAGAGTCTCTAAGAGCCTAACTTTGGGCACCATCGGGACTAGAAACCACGGAGGCTTTCATCATTGACTCACTGCAATGAGTGGTAGTAGGACGATCACCAAATGAGTGATTCTTGTGCTGCGGCCTTCTGCTTCCTTAAAACCCGAAGGACTGAAGAGAACTTCAGAAGCAGCAGGGACCTTACCAATGCATACCGAAGCAGTCTTCTACACACTGCGAAAGACTGTCAAAGTGGAAAGCTAAAAAGAGGCATGTCAAATGTCCCAACTTGCAGGCCATTCACAGACAAAAACGTTCATAAAACAGACCATCCGCCCAGTTGGACCCAGGTGAGCCATTCAGAACTGAATGCAGTACAAGGATCACATGCTATTGGAGTTGCATGCTTGCACCACTCACAGAACCAGGGTCTTGTGGAACCTGCTGTGGAAAGAAGCTGCCTGTATGTGTACTTGCAAATCCTCTTGATGGCGGAAGAGAGCGCTTTCCTCGTGATGGAGGAGATGATAGTCTGTGGCTAGCATTTGGAGTGAATAGTCGGCTGGTGTCCACTTGTGGTACAGGATTGGTGTAAACTCGCTTCAGTATGCGACCTGCTTTTGAGTCCAGACCGAAGACTTTCCACAAATCCGTATTGTCCACCTCCTTTTTCCATGTCTCTTTCCCCAGTTCCCGTGGAGACCTTCGAAGGATAGCCGCAATGCGCTTTTCGCTGATGAGCCTTGCATTGTCTTTAGGTCTCACCACCTTCAGAGTCTTCACAGCCACGGTGGCATTGGATGTCTTGGGGACACCCTGCTGGATCATGGCCGCTCGCACGTCGGTCTTGTTGGTGCCTTTCTTCTCTGCCAGAAGCTCCAATGCGATTTCAAACTGAAAGAAATCGATCCGGTTGGTCCCCCGAGCTTTCACACGGTTGTCAGCAAAAATTAGATCCACACTGGTGGTGTCCAGCTTCTTGTCAATGAGGCTGCAGTCTTGGCACAGCTTCTTGAAACCTTCACATGTCTCTTGAAACCTGACTTAAGCAGCAATTACAGTAAAACTGTGAAACAAAGACAGCCCTGGCCCTGCCTTTCCCATCCATATCAGAATGACCAACTCCGCAGAAGTTGTAAAAAACAGCTTCGAGGCCGTCATTATCTGCCGGAGCCAAAATGGCCTTTGCTTTCATGGCTTCTCTTGGCCCATGGCCGGATTTGATCCTTGGCCGATGCTCGATCCAGCAATCACAGGAACAAGCAAACGCAAATGATGCTGTCAAACCTTGGAGGGCCATGGGGAGATACAAATGCCATGCAAACGCAATCCCTCCTGCCAAGATACCAGGCTGCAAACTCAGCATATGAGACTTCGCCGTCCTTTCAAAGACGGCTCCACAGGAGATGTAAAATTCAGCAGCTGTTTGTTTGTCGTTTGTTTGTGCACGTCTCTGTATTGTTTCCTCTGGCAATTGTCCTTAGGCTCAAGGCCTCGATCCAAGTGCATTGTATAGCACTGTGCAATTGTACATGAACACTACGATGGAGCAAATGAACTATTGTGAAAGAACTTGTCTCTTGACACCGTCCCTTGGATTGATTCATTGTTGAATCAAACCATCAAAACAAACATTGTTGAAACTGTAAAGAAACATTATTGTACAAATCAGTTCAAAGTATTGTAGGCAAGTCTGTACATCTTCTCGCCTTTGTTCTTCCAGCTTGTTGCCATACTTTTCGTAGTGCTCGTATGGCATTGTTTCCGCTGGAGCCAGGCCTCTGGTAGAGCCATTGTTCTAGCCCTCCATGGAGTCGACCGTATTGTCCAAGGTCTCGGTGGATTGTCTGGGACGTTTTGTCCCTTTGCCATCCTCTTCGTCCTCGGATTGTTCCAGGTCGATTGTCCTGTCTCGTTCCTTGATGTAGGCACTGTGCTCTGAGTGCCCTCGCCGATGTCGCTTCGGGATTGTCACGTGAAACGTGTCGATCTTCTTGTCTGCCTTGTAGACTCCCAAAGCCAATTGTACTTCTGGCGGCAATTGTGACTGGCCAAATTGTCCGAGGTGTGCCAATGCCATTCCGAAGATTGTATGACGCGGGGAATCTTCCGGGATAGTCAACATTGTCCTCACATGGATTGTGTGGCCATAGAGCCAAATCCAGCCGTTCTCCCAGTTGTACTTGTCGAACTTGTCGATCGCATTGTAGCGCAGGTGGATCACTCGCAGGTTGCATGCTGTAGTTGTAGGGTGCATGGACTTGTAGTACCTGCACGCTGTATCCCCTTTGGAATGATGTCACCATCTTTTGCGACATGTGGTGGATCAGATTGTGCTCCTCGAAGGCGATCGCGATCAACACCGTCTCGTTGTTCGACATTGTGTGCCCTTGCGATTGGTGATACGCAAGCCATTGAATGGCTTCCTCGCTTGTAGGAACCATTATGCGTTGTTCCCAACTTCCGGGTTTCCGGATTGAGCCCGGGAGCTTGTCGATCCTGCCGTCACTGTTCAGCATTGTCACATATTCGGTCATTGTGACCGCTGAAAACCAGTAGGTCGTAATGTCGTCTAAAGCGTCGACCCATGCCACATCTTTGTAATTCGCTGGGTGCAGAATCGTGCTCTCGAGGTTGTCCACGTTGAAGATTGTTGCCCTGTTGTCCCAAAGCGAGATTGTAGATCCCGTGGGCAACCTTTTCTGGTTGTGGTAGTCTGGGATTGTCAACTCAGCTGCCATCTTCAACTTCCAGATTGTTCTCGAGATTGTCGATCCAGCTTGTCGCGGATTGTGAGCTTGAAAAGCGGCTGCGGTCATAGATTGTCGACAAATTGTCAACTCAGAAAACATGCATTGTCTTCCAAATTCTAAAAGCAAAACTTCAAACACATTGTCCATCGAATTGTACTCCGAAACGACGAAAAGAAAGTTGAGCTCATTGTGAAACTAAAGATCTTGTAGTACATATTGTCTATGACATAGTATGCGCATAGTAGCTAGAGTAGTGTGCCATGGCTCGACGCGCCCATGTGTGTGTTGTACACGCATTGGCGCTGCCACGGTTGTGAAACTGTTTGTACGGCCGCTGGTTAGTTGTGGTGTTGTGGGCATTGAATGCCCGCCATGTAGAGGTGTTTGTTGAGCACCTCTGCCGAGACATACTTCGTCAGTATGTCTGCTGGGTTGTCATGTGTGCTGATTTTGTGTATTGATAGTACCCCGCTTTGCACCAGTTGTTGTATGAAGAGGTACTTCAGGTCAATGTGTTTTGCTTTCTTTGATGAGCCAATTCTTGTGGCAATGCTTTTGCCGCTTGTGCTGTCAGTGTGTATGCGAATGTTCACTTTTGTTGTTGTTGCTTCCTTGATGAAGTTTGCTATATGTAGTCCTTCTTGTGCTCCTGTGCCAATTGCGTAAAGCTCTGATTCTGCTGATGATAGTGCTACTACTGCTTGTGTTCTGCTTCCAAATTGTACCACGGATCCCATCATTGTCACGATGAATCCGCTTGTTGACTTTCTTGCGCTCGGGCATCCTGCCCAGTCTGCATCGACATAAATGTTGAGGTCGATGGGTTCCTTTGTTTGTGGTGTGTGTGTTGTCCTCAGGATCATCTTGTAATGTTGTGTTCCCCTGAGGTATCGCAGTAGATGCTTCACCTTGCGTAGACTTTGTTGTGTTGGTTGTTGTAGGTCTCGTGCCAGTTCTTTTGTAGCAAAGCTGATGTCTGGTCTTGTGTAGGTCAGCCATTATAGTTTTCCTACTGCTCTCCAAAAGTCTGCATGTTCTTGTGCGTCTAAAGGTGCTTCATCGTTTGTGGATTGTTTCAGGGTTGCCGTCCCTGGAGCTGATGCTGGATTGCTTGCTTCCATCTTTGTTTCCTTCAGCAATGTTGTGATGTATTCTGGTTTGAGGCTCACCTCGAAGAGGTCTCCATTGTTGTGAATGTCTCTGCCAAGGAATTGGATTGTCTGACCAATTCCCAATGTGCCGGTTGGTCGTAGTAGTACATGCTTCTGTACTTCGTTGAAAGTCTTCTCGACTTCTTGTTGTTGTCCAAGGAATAGTAAGTCATCCACATAGACCATCACAAACATTGTCTGTTCATTGTTCCTATATACGTTGGGTTCACTTGTCAGTCGAGTCAGTCCCATTTGTTGCAGGACTTGTGCAAAGTGATCTTGCCAAGATTTTGGACTTGATCGTAGTCCATATATTGCTTTGTTGAGCTTCCATACTGTGGTGGTGTTGTGACCACTCGGGTATAGTTCTGGTGGTGGCCACATGTAAAGGTTGTCCGTCGCTGCTGGCGCATGTAAGAATGCTGTTGACACATCTCCTGCTTGTATTGTCCAGTGGTTGTGTTGCGCCATTGTCAGGAGGATGCGTAAGATCCCAAAGATCGGTGTGCTCGCATAGATGTTGTCAAGGTCTTGGATTGTTTCCAGGAAGCCTTTTGCGACTATGCGACATCGCACTTCATCTTGTTTGGGTTTGTTGACCCACTTTGACTCGATGATCTTGTTCTTGTGTTCTTCTGGTACATCATTGTAGTTCATCTCTGTGAACACTCCTTGTGTTTTCATCGATTGTGCTTCTTTCTTCATTCCTTGTTGTACTTTCAATGGATCAAGACCTTCATTGTCGTAGACAAAGGGTTCTTGTAGCATCCTTTCCACTTCTGCTTCTTGTTCATCTTCACAGGATGCTGTGGTGATCTTGTCACCTTTCCTTGTGGTGATTGTCACTGCTTGTATTCTCATCTTTGCTTTTGGTTGTTCTTCATCTTGTCCTCTGTTCACTGCTGTTGAGGACTGCGCTGTCCTTGATTGTTTGGATTGTGCTTCACCTGTGGGCTCCTCGTGTTGTCGCTTGCTTGCTGGTGGTAATGGCAGTGGTGGTCTTGCCATTGTTGTTGGTGAAGTTGCCAATGGTGATGTTGCCATTGTTGTATCCATTGATTGGTGACGCATTGCTTGCGCTGGCAATGCCAGTGGTGTCTCTTGTACTGTCTGCGTGCTTGTATCCTCCATTGTAGTGTCAGCCTGTGTGCCAATTGCCTGTCTGTTTGTGGTATTGTCAGCTGGTAGAAGCAATTGTGTTGGAATTGCCATTGGTGTTGTTGGCAAGTTCCATGGATACACATTGATGGTATCCAATAGTTGCTTGTCATACTTGTCTGGCATGATCTGTCGTCGAATTGTTCTTGAATTGATTACTTTGCCAGGGATGCCGACTATTGATTCTCCAGTCATTGTATCCCTGCCAAGCCTTTGAAGAATCTTGGCTCCATCTTGGGTTGTGCTTTTGTTGTTGGTATCATGTATTGTACTGTTTCTGCCATCTCGCATAGTGGTGCTTTGTGGTCCTTCTGCCATCGTCTTTGGTAACTTGTTTGTCCATCATTGTGCATGGCATACCTGTTCAGTAGCCAGGCTGCATGCCGTACGACCCACGGCATGACCGGATGTTGCACGCTCATTGAGAGGTTGTAGCTTGTGGTCACTTGTTGTACCAGTGCTCGGACTTGTCCCATCAGGGTGCGATGGAATCGTTCAATGCTTCCTTGTGATTGTGACGAGTATGCTGGTGATTGTCGGATGTTGACGTTGTTTCCGAGCTTTTGTGCGACGGTCTTCAGCAGGTTCTGTATGTATTCTTATTGGTCTGATTGGAGTGTTGTGGTGGATAGTGTTGCTTGTGCTCGTCCACATTCAAACATGAATGTTTGTAGACATCGTGTCAGGTATTGTTGTTGTTGGTTCTTGTCTTGCACAAGAACTGCCATTGCCATACCTGATTCGACATCTATTGCCGTAAGGACTGGTAGTACTTTTTTGTCTCCAAATGCTTTCATGTAGGTGAAGTCCACTTGTATCACTGGTTGTTTGCTTGCTTGTTTTGGGTGATTGTCTGTTCTTCCTTTGCTCTTTACACATATTGGGCACCATGAGCGATATGGTAAGTGTGTCAGCTCATGTTCTAGCCTCTCTTGTCTTGTTGGTTGTTGTGGCGCCTTCATCCCTTTGGCGCGTTGCGCTTGTTGAGATTCATCTTCATTGTCCGTGTCGTATTCGTATTTGTACGTCGCTTCTTCCTCGAAGTTTGTTGATCCTGTCCATTGTCTGTCAAGCTGTCTTGCTCCTGATTCCTGCCAATTGTCATGGATTGTGTATCCTCTTCCTTGTTCCGTCCTGTTCACGAACGTTGTCCGTGTCGGTTTAAGTCGTCCAATGTCTGGACCATCATCTGTCTGTTGTGGTACGTACATTGTTGTCCGTGCTTGTACGTGAACTCGTTTCCAATAATGTCCTTCTCTGATCCAATAGTCTGTTGTTGGTGTCATTGTTGATGGATCAGGTACTGCCGTGGTCATTGGCGCTGGCTTCTTCGTTGTGTGTCTGTATAGTGGCTCTCTGCTTGTCTGTGGTGTTGTCCCGTCTCCGTCCGAGACCCGCAGTGTTGTGGATTGATGGTGCCTGTATTGCTTGTGATGCTTTCTCTGTCTTCTCTGTTGTCTTCGCCGTTGTAGGTGCTGGTTGCGCTGGCGGCTTGTTCACTCTGAACCACGTTTCTCCTGTCCATGTGTCTCCTTGTATCACTCTTCGTTGTTCGTGTTTGTTCAAGTCATGGTATTGTTCAACAATGTCTTCGTTGTTCCCATCGGTTCGCCGGATGATTGTTCGTCTGTAGTTGCTCAATGTCTCCAGTGGTACTGGGCAATTGTTGCCAGGAACAAAGAGAGCTTTCCTCTTGTTCCGGTGATACCGTACAAGGTATCCTTCATTGTTGTAGTTCCAGTAGTCGCTATTGCCTCCAAGGACTTGTTGTGGTCCATGTCTTGTCAGTGTTGTTGGGGCAATCATTGCAATCATGCCCTTTTGTGTATGTCTCAGCTGTAGTTGTTGATGTTGTCCCAGGTTCATGACTGTGGCTGGTAAGTAGTAGAGATTGCGTTGCTGCACCAAGGGAACATTGAATCCCTTGTCATGGCGCATTGTTGGAGTGTCGTTGAACCTGATGTCGAAGCCTTGTTCTGCCAGTCTTGTCACTGACAGGATTGGGTCGTGGATGTCACACACATAGACTGGTATGACAATTGGTTGTCCTCTTGATTGCATGTAGACCCATCTTACTCCATAGCATTGTATTGTCTTGTTCGTCACTGTCCTAAGGTTTGGGCTTTGTGCTTGATCGATCTTGTACACTGGATAGTTGTCTGCAAACCATAGTGGACAGACGTGTGTGGCTGCTCCACTGTCGATCATGATGTGCATAGTGTCTGTTGTGCCGCTGCTTGTGGTGTCTGTCTTGTAGTCATTGCCATTGTTGATCATGGCGATGACATGGATTGGTGTCATGTCATTGTTGCCATTGGATGGAATTGGTGGTAGTGCCAATGGCTGTTGTCCTGGTTGTGGTCTCATGTAGTCCTGACAGTACCATCCATTGTCATAGTAGTCATCGTACCATTGCGCTGTCGCATCCTCAACGTCGTTGCTTTCGCCTTGTCCAATGTTGTGTATTGCCACTCTGCAATCTTTGGCAAAATGTCCTGTTCTTCCACATCTGTAGCATGTATCTGTTGCTTGTTTTCCTTTGTTCTTTCCGAAGGCTTTGTTGTATCCTTTGCTGAATCCTTTGTTTCCTTTGTTGCCTCTTCCGAATGGATTGCCAAGGCCGATCGGACTGTTGTTGTAGTTGTTGAATCCTTTTCCTCCATGCTTTCCTTTTCCTTTGTGGCTGATGTTGTAACTGTTGTATCCGTAGCCGTTGTATCCTCCGTAGCCTTTGCCTTTGTTCTTTCCTTTTCCTTTGCCTTTTCCTTTGTAACTGTTGTACTTACCTTTTCCTTTGTGGATTGCATCAATGTCCATGGGTGCTTGTCCTTCACCAAAGCTTGTTGCTACACTGGATGATTGTGATCGTACTTGTTGCAGTTTGCTGAATGCTGTTGTTGATCTGTAGTACTCGATGATTGTTTGTTTGACTCGTGCATAGTTTGGGCTTTGTCCTGAAAGCAGTTGTAGGTGTTGTTGTAGTGGTCCACTTGTCTCGTTGAGCAATACGGCAATCTTCACTGAGTCTGGGACTGTTTGTCCATTGTCTCGCTCAAATCGTTGTAGTTCAAATTCCCATGTGGAAAATGATTCTTCGAAGTTGTTCTTGTCAAAGGTCGGCTTCAACAATCTTGTCAAGTGTCCTATGGATCTTGTCCCCAATGGGATGGAGAAGCGGATGCACAGTTGTCTGTACATCTCGAAGCCAATTGTGTGTTGGTATTGTCTGCATACTGTAGCTGCTGCTCCATTTGTTGCGTTGATGAGGATGTACCTCAAATTTGTGCTGAGGCGAACATGTCGTTCACCGTCTTCGATTGTTGATGCCGCTGCTCGTAATTGTACCTCTGTGAGCTCTGCTGTGCCTCGTTCTGCTGCTTGTAGTAGTTCTGTGTAGTCGTTGTCTTGCAATCCCATGTATGCTGTGAACTTGTACTTCCATTCTTCGAACGTGCCATAGTCTCCATTGAAGAAGGGTGGTTTGAGTTTGTATCTGTTCATGTTTACTATGTTGGCCGTTGTCTCATCTTCTGGAACTGGAGGAAGTCCATCTCCAGCTTGAGCTGCTGCTTGTTGCGCTGCCATTGTTGCAGCTGCGCAAGCTACCTATTGTAGGGTCAAGGCTTGCTCTCCGTTGTGTGTGTTTGTTGGCTTATGCCTGTTGTTGTATTGGAGCTCACCTGGATTGTTGTTACCAGGATCCTTGCTCCGCTACCATGTAAAATTCAGCAGCTGTTTGTTTGTCGTTTGTTTGCGCACGTCTCTGTATTGTTTCCTCTGGCAATTGTCCTTAGGCTCAAGGCCTCGATCCAAATGCATTGTATAGCACTGTGCAATTGTACATGAACACTACGATGGAGCAAATGAACTATTGTGAAAGAACTTGTCTCTTGACAGGAGAGAGAGAGAGAGAGGGTTCAAACACCGAAGAAAGTGTGAGAAGAAAAACATGTTCCTTGGAAAACTTTCAGGTCTCAAAGACAGACTCGGGATGCGCAGCAGAAACGCTTTGCAACTCACACAGAAAATATGGCCTTGCTCTTGTCCAGGTCTGCGCAAATTTTCTTGACTTCATCCTCTGAAAAGGTTCCAAGCACCTGGGACCCCGAGCCACCTTGACTTGGCACACATGAGGTAAACGTTGAATCATGAGACTTCTGGCTGACTGATGGAAAGTGAGCATCGGCCTTGAGTGCTTTTCGCAATTCCTCGATGTTCAACGATCCATCACCAGTTGCATCATAGGTTTGAAAGGCCTCAAGGGTCCACAGGGCTGATGCTTAGATCCAACTGACAGCAAGCCTGCATGCTGCAAACCCATCGCCCTGCGCCTTTTTGATGCGCTCATCCCTTGCCTCACCAGTTTCCCTGCAAACAAAGCTTCGTCAAATATATACATGGTTCAACCCAAGCGGCCAAGGACTACAAGAGAAGGGCACAGTGGAGCCCTGCTGGGAACGGATTCATGGGCCAGCTAAGTGTGCATATTTGATGCAAAACACAATGAAATGTCTGAGCTCAAGATTACAATTGCCGGCCTCAAGATTGCTCTGCTAACTGCCTGCAGCTCGGGGCAACTCTTTGATAAGTTGAATAACCAAAAACCATCAAAGCATCCCAACCTGTGTCAGTTCGTTGCCCTTCTTCAGCCAATGTAGGAATTCTTTATGAGATACCTTTCCATCTCCACCTGGCAAGCTGTGAAATCCTGTTGAATTTCCAAGTTGCAGAGAGCCTCTGTCCAGATCCTTGCACAAGGCGTCAATGTCTTTGAATGTAAAATCTGAGTTCAGCCTCAGACGACTGAAATTGAATCAAAAGCATCAAGAACAAAAAATATTCCAACATGTGCGTGTTCATCAGCATCCCCGCAACACAGCCACGCAGCATCCGGAAAACTCGTGCGAGTTCATCTCTGTCTAAATATCCACCGCCATCTGAGTCAAACCTCCACGGGGCCATCTACCAATGAATTGTACCGCAAATGCTCAACAGGAAATGGTTCTCCACAATCCACAATGTCCCAATATTCACCATCTTCATGTGATTGCAACTACATTATATAATCATGTGTACATATATACTGTATATATATTACAGCATATCTATATATATATATATATCAAGTATTGAAAGGCGCGAGTGGTGCATGAGTCAAGCCTCTGGAAGACTTCTCTGACACGAGCAGACCTCAACTCAACAAGAACAAGGAACAGCCAACAAAAAAGTACATCTCTTTGCATGGAGTGCAATTGATCAAGCCGCGGTGCATTGCATCCCCAGTTTCTTTGAGAATCATTTGGTAAACTTCAGTGGCTGCACCACCTTGGGTTGCGTGACAAATCGATGAAATATATATATATATATACTTGAGGCCAAGGGGGGGGGCGAAAGCTAGCGCTCCAGAATGGGAAAGTGGAGGGCAGCGAGGTAGGAAAAAACACGGCGCTCTTTTTGGAGGCAGGGGTGAAGAGTCCTTTATATGTGGCTCTTTGCCCGGATCCTCCTGCGAGAGAAGAGACAGAAGAGAGACGGAAAAACGAGAGACAGAGAAGAGAGAGAGAGAGAGGAGAGAGAGATGAGAGAGATGAGAGAGATGAGAGAGAGAGAGAGAGACAGTGAGACAGTGAGACAGTGAGACAGTGAGACAGTGAGACAGTGAGACAGTGAGAGTGAGCGAGTGCGGCCGCAAGATACGCAACGCTAGCCGCATGCCAAAGAGCGACGACAGGACGGAGTCGAACTTGCGACGAAGAGGGAGGAGGGAGGGAAGACAAGGAGGAGGAGAGGGGAGGTGGGGAGAGGGGAGGTTGCTGTGCGTGGTACCCACTGCTCATGAGGAGCGCAGAGCCTTGAGCTGATGTAGTGGGTGTGGACGTTATGGGTGTTGAAAGTGGCCTGACGGCCAATGAAGCATGGCCTGTTGGCCACAACTTGTTGCACCCTGCAAGCACAGAGAAGAAAAGGTGCTGGAGTTGAAAGTTATAGATATATATATATCACGAAAGCTAGCGAAGCTAGCTGGAGTTACTCTTGCGATAGCAAGGTTTCTTTCGACCGGGTGCAAATCCTAACCCCTGATTTTTCAAGTCGAAGCCCCCCCCCCCTCCTCTTCAACTGTATTGCCTTCTGTAAAAAAGTAGGGAACATGCCAGCCATCTGTATCACTCGAGCCCGTTGTTCTTGTGTCGTCGAAGCTAAAAACTGAAAAGATCCGATCTCCTGGATGTATATCTCCATTACTTTCGCATTGATCCACCTTCCACGCCGTCTAACAAACTCCGAATCCTCGGTACATTGAAGTTGCCATGTCGCTCCGCCACGTCTGAGCGACCCAGCGTCCAGGGTCTTGTGACCCTGGAGGACTCCGGTTTGCAACGACAATGCACGGAGGATGTCCTTGAAGCGTTGTCTAAATGTAGCTGTGGAGAACGGCCACAATGGTTGATGCGGCTTTAGATCAGCAAAGGAGGTTTCAACCAGCTTGAGCAGATCTGGGATATCCAATTTTGCGCTCTGATGTCGTGCAGCAACAAACAGTGAAAGAAGGGCGAAGTTGTTTGTTCCCAGAGCATCAATTGGCAACAGTAAGTCCTTGCGGACGGCTCCAGCGATTTCACTGGTCCTCAACAAAGAACCCCATCCAAGAGCAAGAAGTCCTGCCATCTCTATCCATCCCCAGCCTATAGCAACACTCAACATACCCAGCAGCACTTGCCAAGGCATGGCTATATGGTGCTGTGGCCTTTCTTCACGTACCCACGCAAAAGCTAAGTTCCACGCAGGCTGAAGTTGCCGCTTCAAAACAGGCCTGTATGAAGAAATACTGTTCACAGATTCAACATAAATATTATAAGTACGTCCTGCTTCGTACAGTCTTCTTCCATACAGCTGGAGGATCTCGTTTATCCTTTCGACATGCTGCAGTGGTCTCTCAAGAAGGGACCTCAGGTTGAAGCCACAAAAATCACACCAGTTCAGCAGGTCAAAAAGGAGTCGGTCACGGTTTCCAGCAGTAGCCTCCGTTACAGGTCTACCTGAAGGCAGAGGCCTCAACCGTCGTGCAGCTTGGCGCGATCTGTCCCCAGGTGTCTTAGGTACTATCACGCCATGGCTACGCCCCAAAAGCTGCAAGCTAACTAGAGACCACAGGACAAGACATGAAGACGGGAAGGACAGGCGACAAGGAGAGAGGAAGAAATGGCCTTCACCGGGAAATCCAAGTGTGCGATCAAAATCCATGGTGGAGCCAGGAGGAGAATAAGCTGCTGGGAGGGATGACCTTGGCACCGGGAGCCACACAAGTTCATGAAGGCGGCCGGTCTGAGAAAAGACTTCAAGTCCATGAAATCCATAAAGTCCACAGACAAGCCTGACCCAATTCGAGGCCCAGCGACGAAGCTTTGGAAGCGAGCACAGACACTGAACGTCTGCGTTTGAAAGGTCTCCGAGCCGTGGAATGCTCCATGCCTGTCGTACTTCACGATCTCTGGTAGGATCATCTGCTGTATTCAACCTGGTAGGCACGAAAGGCAGTGTAAAATAAAGGCCAGCAGCCACGCAGGTGGCACCAAACTTTCTCACAAAAGGAGCTAAGGCTCTGCTTGAAGTCCTTCCTTTTGAAGCTGAACATCGAACAACATTGTAGTCCACAAAGTTGACGACTCTAAGGGCTGAAGGTGAACGAGCAAGCTTTTCACTCAATCTGACAAGACTCTTCATCTCCAAAAGGTTTATATGCCGAGGGGTCGAAAAAGACCAAACATCTTTCATCCTCCAGTCAGCAGAAGTTGCAACGAAGTTTACCAGCTGATTCTCCAAGCCGTCGGTCTTGTAGTCGTCATATTCAAGGATACTCCTCTGACGGCTTTTCACCGCTTCGAAAAAGCATAGGGCTATCTGAGCAGCTAGTTCTTCAGTGTAGGAGACAGAGGCTTTGGTGAACTTCCCTCAACAACCACATGGGAGTGGTCCCTAGAGCATCTCTTTTGAACATGTGTCAAACGCATGTTCACTGCCATGAACCTGAAGCTCTTCTGGTGTGGTGACCCAAAAGCGCAGGAGTCGGATCTAACTGCGTTGACCCGAGGTTTGCTTGCAATCGCCTGCCACGGAGGTAGGAAACGCATCAGCGAAGTCCATGGTTGTTCTATTAGCCCAGGAATAAAAAGGCGCCATGCAATGTGCAGAAAAGACAACGCTCGCAAGGCCAGTAAATTACCAGTCAGTGTTTTTGGACATTCAAGGCTCAGCCCATGAGGATCATCTCTTGTCCTCAAAGCCGGCCTCCTCGTGATAGAAAAAGTAGTGCAAACCGGTTCCACCATGATGCTGCCCAAGTTTCCACTGACCAACATATAGCTCAACCATGCCACGACTCTAGTCAAAGTCATATCCAGCTCGCCACTATAGGAAATGTCGACCGGAGGCCCAACTCGCATGCCCAACCGAGCAGCTGCTTGTGACACTCTTGCTGATCCTGCATAGACCTCAATGAAATCATACTGGAAGGCCAACTGCTTGGATGGGCCCGGCTGGAAGGAAGACAATGTGTCATATTGAGTTGTATCATCAACTGCTGCTTCATCTCTGATCCCAAGCCTATCAAGCAGAATCTCATGCTGAGTTTTCAGCCTGGAATAAGCACCTTTTGTCTTGCAAGACCTCCACAGCTTTTCAACTACCGTGATCGGGACATTGGCTGATGTAATCGCCCCTTTCTCCTCAGAGGCGTCTGTAGCAAAAACTCGCCCCTCGAAAAGCGCACCAACGTCTGCAACTGCAAGCAATGCCAGGACTGACATGACAGTCAGCTCATCTGCTACGGAACGTGGAAGGCGCACTATACGAGGATGCTCACTTTCAACCAATGCTGCGTCGACAAGGCGGTGAGCTGCAGTGAAGATACTCATCAGCGGTCGTCTATACATTGCTATAGATGTCCAGGCTCCAACAACGCATAGGCGCAGCACATCTGTAGTCTGGTTAAGTTGACATAGCTGAAGAGTCAACCAGCTCATAGCCAACCGTTTGCATATTGGAGCTCCAACAGTGGCGACACCCTTGCGCGCTGCTCTGTCGGATGTGTTGATCTCAGCTCCAATGACCTTGGCTCTTTCCTCTCCAAGGACATCTTTGTGGGGGGATCCAATGATCTTGTGCTCCTCATAGACCTCCTGGCTAGAGGCGAAATGTCTGAAAGCTCTGCTATCTTGGGCGGACGTCCTCTTCTCACGTGACATGCAGAAAAATCATCAATCACAAGGCCTTGACAAACTGCATGAAAAGGCACATTTGCAATAATCCTATCACTGTTGGCTGAAGAGCTGTTGCAACCTCGACTCCTACATGGTCTCCCTGAAAAAGCGACTTGAAGCATACATGCACATTATCAAGCAGCAAAGAAGGACGCGTAAAGAATGCATCTGACCCACCATCAAGTAGGCCGTCTCCGCCATCCTCCCTGCTTGCTCTTGGTCGCTCCTTGTTTTGACTGATGAAGCAATCAACCGCATGAAGCCCATGTAGAGAAGATAAAGGCACCTTGGGACCAACAGCATTGCATCGAGCCTTTTCTGGAGTCACCCAAAATTGATGATAAAAGTCACGACGATCTGTGGCATATATTTTCAGGCATTCAGTCCGCGGGTGTAGTGCAAGATCGACCAGATCGCTTCCGGCAGGGAGATTTCGCGATGGACCAAGAACCTTCCCTTCTTGCGAGTTCATTCCCCGCCGATCACCTATTTGTCTATCGTTGTCAATGTCTTTGAAGTTGTTGAACACCCTTGTCAATGACCACTCGTCGGCTGCCTCATTGCTGATAAAAAGGAGCCCACGTGAGTCCCATAATTTGGCCAGGCGAACAATCTCATCCTGTGTATCAGAGATTTTGGGATATTCCCCTTGCCGTGGGATATAACCATTTCTCAGCAGCTGAGGCATTCGGTATGCCATGCGTAGCCCATCATCAAGGTGATCTGTCGCATCAAAGAAACCTGTACCCACCAAACAAAGTCTGTAAGCATTCAAAGGCCTATATGGGTTTGTATTTTTTTAAGGTTCCCGGGCCGGGATGTTTGACTATGGGGTATGCTTCGGAGGTATGCTTCGGGGGTATGCTTCGGGGTATGCTTCGCGCAGTGTGAAGACTAAAGTAGTAGCATTTCCAGATGGTATGCTTCAGGGTATGCTTCGGGGTATGCTTCGCCTAAGTCGAACATCCCAGCCCTACATAAACTGGACACCTTAAAAAATGACAAGCCCATATGGCTGCAGCTCTGGAAGGACCTCATTTCGAAGTGGGACTTCATGACAACCAAACATGCGGCTGTAGGGCCCTTGGGCTCCAAGCTTTGTCAGGCTTTCAGACAGTTCTCCCAAACGCAACTAATTGAGGAAACTTTCGGCCACAGGCAAGAGTCTCGAACACCCCTGAATCTGGGCCGTCGCCCGCTATAATGCCCATCAACTTTTTGTAGATGCTCCGATGAGTAGAGGAAGGGCATCTCGACAAGAGCCTCTCGTTGGGGAAAGATCCCAAACCTCCATGCCAATAATTCAACGCCATCACAACAATATGAATAATATGAAGGACTCGCTTGAGATGAAGACGTCTTCTAGCATGAAGAGAGAGACATGCCGGCATCCTGTTGAAAAGGCCAGTCTCAGGGACCGGAACAGGGAAAAGCGACGAAGTCGAGACTGAGTCGTCTCGGGGCACATGTAGAGAAGACTTCAAAAATGCTGAAAATGGAGTTCTGGTTCGCAGCACATTTCGTAGAAGGCCAGCACACCACTTCCAAAAAGTAAAGGTCTTGGGCACCTTCGTGAACAAAAAGTCATTGAGGCCACCATCTTCTGCTTCCGGGACCTTATCGGGGGAGACGTCATAGTTCTCACCCTTCTTCTGAATTCGGACTGTCCTAGGTGAGCTATTCAAACGGGAACCATGAAACTCACCCGGCGTGCAATGATCTCGCTCGGTCATGAAGAGGTCTCCTGCGCCGCCTTCGGGCGCTTTGGAAACCTGGGCTTTCTCTTCGGAGAGCCTCCATCTGTCTCCTCCTTCACAAGCGAAGCCTTTGCCTTTGCTTCGGGCTTCTTGTTGGCAAGGATCTCCATGTCCTTCAAATAGCTCAATGTTGTGGCTGTCCATGAAGGCGGAATCAGTGGTGAGAACGGCCTTCTGTTGCTGTGACATTCACTGACCTCTCTTGGAACAACTGTATTGGCGGCTCCTCGATCAAGCTGATGAGATAGGCAACACCCCAATCGCCACCGTCGAAGTTTGCTTGTTTGACTGCCATAGCAAGCAAAGCCAGGATCTCCTTGACCCCCGCTATGTCTCCTTGCGCTGCAGCATCTATTGCGTGTGCAAGAATCCATTGAACTAACCCCAATGTCTTCTGGTTCCGATAGCCTCCATTTCGAGATACTCCAGGAAGGAGACCGCCCCAAGCTCTGCCTCGGTCTTTGGAAGGACTCGTCCTGGGTGGAGTCGCTTGTGCACTTGCTGCATCATCAGCAGGAAAAATTTCCCGACCTCGCTGCCAAATCTGCTTGCAGCTTCTCTCTCCGTTGGACCCCTTTCATAGACGAAGTTCCCGACAGACCTGCCTGCAGGTCCACAAGAGGATCTCCTGACTCCTTGTGAAGGCTCTCCATTTCCCACAAGCAATGCATTGAGTTCTTCTGGAGGAAGAGGGGCCAGAGCCTGCTGAAGCTGCATCTGAGACATCTTTGTTTTCGGAGGTCGACCCGCCAAAGCGAGACTTTTTGCCACTGTAGATGGAGGGCCAGCCTCTGAACCAAGGGCGCCGGACACTGCCGGCAACTTGCTTGTCTTGCCAGTCTGCTGACCTCCTGCAGGAATGGCAGAGGTGGGAACGTTCCCCTGCTCGAGAAGGCCCTGTCTTGCCGCCAATAGCTGAACCTGAGAGGAAAGCGCGGTCATCTGCTCGAGAAGAACTGCATTGGTAACCCTCTTGGGGGCTGCTGCTTTCTTTGCACCTTGCTTTGCTTTCGGAGCACTGCCCGGGTCTTCTTGAGCCGAGTAAAACCCCGACGAAGCTTCCTGTCTCTCAGTAATCCACGCCACGACCAGCTGGTTCAACGCTTGCAAATCAGGGATACATCCTGGACGCTCATCATGGTACGGCACGACCTCGATGTCAGAGTCAACAACTGGATCGTACTGCCTCACAAAATTGAGCAGGTCATCGGTCACATCAATGACATCCACCATGCCAGCTGCATTGAGAGGCACGGGGGTTCCATCATCAGCTTCCTCGACCAATGGGACCTCCAAAGCAACTCCTACACCCAGCCAGGTGGGAGCCATCTCTGCTGCATCAACGTCCTCAAACATGCTGGGAGAAATCACACCATGAGGGATGCACAAAAGGAATCCCCCCTCTCTGCCCAAACAAAGGAAGCCCATATAGTTCCGTCACTGCTCCTGTAATGGGAGGGGACAAAGTGACCACCAGGAGCGAATAGTCACTGTGCCCTGCTGCAAACCTCACTTCACGCCGCTGCATTGATACAGCGGAGGCACGCTCGTCCCGAGGGACGAGCAGAAAACCTGAATCTCTGTGATGGATGGGAATCCCTGGTAAATGACACCGTCAGCACCAGCCTTCTGAGAGCTCAACAAAGAACGTAGTTCTGAGATCTTTCGAACTCTGATCGGTCCAGCCAAGCGGCTATGCCTCACCACAATCCAATGAGCGTCAGAGAGTGAGATGGGATCTGCCTGAGTATACTCGGTGTGTGTAGCGTTCGCTGCCCACGCCCAGAAACCAGCTCTCCAAGCTCGAACGATGCGATCCTTTGGATTTCCGACCACAGACGTGATCTTTGATGATGCTAAAGCGAGCAAGTCCTCAGGAATAGGCTGTGGCCCGTCTTCGAAAATCCGAAGGGGGTCAAGCTTCACGCTCAACAAAGTCGGAGTCTCTTCCTCAACTAGCTCCCACCCAGCAATAGAAGTCACAGGAGAAGACTTGGAGGAGGTAGAGGATGAAGTCGAGGATGCCAAGGACGACCTTTCCAAAGCTACACTCAATCTATTCAAAGCCTCAATCAAATGTCCAACGTCCTCCTTTGTGACCGGTGTGCTCATTCACCTCCTCTATAGGAAGCAAGTCTTGCTCTCTTCTCTAAAGCCGATGGCCTCAGCAAATCCAAATCGGGAGAAGCCTGAGCCTGAGTGCGTAGAGAGATGGACGAAGCAAGAGAGCAGGATGGCCCAAGTAGAACCAAAAGTAGATCGCTCCCAGCAGCGCAACCAAGATGCCAAGGGAGACCCCTGAAAGAAACCAGGGGAGGCAAGAAGATGAGCAATGGAGGGGGGAAACTGCGAGCAGACAAGTCAGAAAGGACCTTGACAAGATCCGAGACCGACTGAAGAGACCACATTCCTTGAGCGGAAAGGTGCAGAATCGTCACCAGTTTTAGGTCAGCATATACTTGCGTTGCAAAACCCCGGTCTTGACATTAAATTTGAGGAGTGAATGCATCAGCTTTGGTTCTTCAGTTTTTGCATCCCAGCCCTCTCCTCAGGTCCACGCTTCCATTTTTGATCCAAGCAATGAATTCGGAATGAGAAACCGACCCATCACCGCCTCCACACAACCATAGGTTACATTCAACATACAACAAACACCAAGAATTAGTACGCACCTCGATCCAGTTCGTGCACAAACTGTGTGACCTGCTTGGAGGTGAAGTTAGGACAAAGTGTCTTGAACACCGACCTTGGATTTTAAGGCAACAGGAACGGCTACGGCTAAGTAGTGTGCACACCAAAGCACGTCTCTGGTACATGTTGTATGTCACTTTCAAATGCCAAATGGCAACAGCTCACTCCGGTCAAGTGATCCACCACCATCTTTATCAAATCGATCGAAGACTTGTTGGATCCTGCGCAGGGACACTCATAACCCCTACAAGGTCCACCTTTGAAAAGAACTGAGTTTGATACAACCGAATCAAACACTGTCCTCTGTGCTAAGCCCTGTTCATCAACCACAGGCGCATGCTCTGTCGGTGAGGCTGCTCTTTCAGCCATTGCTCTGAAGCAAGCAAACAAAGTCAGATCCGTTGACGGGTTGACGTGCTGTTGAAGGACACAAAAATATTCAAGCAATACAACACAAAACTTGGCTGTTTGCTTTCTTTTGGTTTGATGGTCAAGACTTGTAGCAAACAACTACCGTAGCAACTACCGTAGTAGTCTGAATGGGGCGCACATCAATTGTTGTTCAACGCGCATCTGAAACACACAAAATGGGGGACCTTGTCAATTCATGCCTGCCAACAGCGCCTGATGGCGACGCTTGCACAAAAGAATACGCAGAACGTGCGCGGAAAATTGAAGATGTCCAAAGACAAGACTATGGGACATGTGTTAACATGGGTTGTCAGTCCAGGCCCTTTGGCCAACTGGTGGCTGCTCTAATAGTCTTAAAAGTCTAGGGGTGTTGTGGATCAAGTCCGTGTATGAATCAGTACAGTTGCTGAACGCTATGCCGGTAGCGCACAGGATGTGCAAATTTGTTGTGGGCGTGCGTATAAAAGACGAGTCCGCTCCTCTACAGATGAAACACCATTTTTGACGCAAGGCTGCAGTGCAGGGTCGCTTTGCAAGCAAAAACAAGTGCTGGTGGGCTTCCCCACAAACCCCCTAGTATCGTCGCAGCTTGAAACGTAGGCGACCTTCTATCTATCTCTCTCTCTCTCTCTCTCTTTTCAAGTGGGGACAGGTCGTCGAAGCAGAGTTTCAAGGGCAACACCTGCCCCAGACATGATCAGTTGGAGTGGTTGACCTGGGGGCTTTGCGGGGCGGCATATATTCCAGTCCCAGACAGGTCTTGTCTGGGTGCTTCCAACCTGGGTGCCTACCGGAAACCATAGTGAAACCGGTCTCAACACCACGCAGGATACGCAGGATGCCATGGGAAAGACACCCCAAGTGACCGATGGTCGATGAAGGATGCAGGTACGTTTCACGAACTGTTGAGGCATTTTGTTTAAAACATGTCTTTCCTTTTTTCGAGGTGCTTTCAACAGTGTTGTCAGTGTTCTTTGACTGTGGACTCCTGGAGTGGGTAGAGTATGCTAGCGTGACATTTCGCGTAGACGTATCTTGGGTGTTGATACCTCAAAGAAGTGGAATTTGGAGTCTATGGTTCGAACCACCTACCTCGACGTACACGAACTTATCCCCAGGCCAAGGAGATGCCTGAAGCCTTTGATCATCTCTTATAGTTTTTTTCTCTCCCCCTTGGTCTTTTCATGTCTTTGGCTAAACATTATTCGGCCTTCTCGGTGGTGGCTCCAAAAACCCTTTCGGGTCTGCTGAGAAATTCGAGTGTTACCACATTCATGCCAGCTGCTTTTGTTCGTGGTCTCCAAACAGGAGACCCCGACAGTGACAGAAAGCGGGGGTCGGTGCCCATGCCAACCGCTGCGTGACGCCATCGCCCAGGCAAACTGTGGAAGCACCATCTCAGACTCATTCCAAAGGAATCCAAAGAAAGGATGTAAGGGGATGTAGGAGATGTACTTGGGGATGTAAGGGGTATTTAGAAGGTCCAGTTGGTTGTCTCTTTGCAGTTTCCGGGGTCATATTGCTTGATATCAACAACGGTGACAACATTGACTACATTTCGGTGGGTCAACAGGCTACTCCGGAAATCTGACCTTTGTTTTAGTGGGATTTGATGGGTGCCGTTGGAGTGTCGCACTCATGCTTTGCAAATCAAACAATGAACTTTACTTGGTTACATTGCCTCAAGAGTAGTTCCTGTAACAAATGCCAAACACGTACCAACATGTCGCAAAAGGAAGCACAGCCTGCTGTACAACGGGGCTCTGGGTTTTAGTTTGCAACCCCCCAGTGATGCCTCAGTGACCCACCAAACGGATTAGGCTACAGCCTGCTATGTCGCAGGCTGAAGCGGTGCATCTCGAACCAGAACAATTCCCAAGCCCTTAAAAGACAAGCTCACTGAACTATATTGGGATTTTAGTGGAGTGCCCTCAATCCCCCCAATTTGTGGGCAGGTGATCCACGTACTTCCTGGTAGGACCAGTGGTTGACTTTAAGCATGGGAGGTTTCGTTCGGTTCCTTCTCGAGACAGTTTTTCTTCCAACACCCATAGGCATCACCAAACCACGGGAGTTTTGGTATGTTTCCTCTCGGTGATCTTCGCAAGTCCTCGTGGCTCACCTCTAATCCGGTGTAGCCACCTGGGTTACTCGCTATTGGGTTGGAGGCCATCGGTACTAGGCTGGAGGCCATCGCTATTAGGTTAAAGGCCATCGCTCTTAGGTTGGAGGCCATCTCTATATCAGGTCGGAGGCCATCGCTATATTAGGTTGGAGGCCATCGCTCTTAGGTTGGAGGCCATCGCTCTTAGGTTGGAGGCCATCGCTCTTAGGTTGGAGGCCATCGCTATATTAGGTTGGAGGCCATCGCTCTTAGGTTGGAGGCCATCGCTCTCACGTTGGAGACCATCGCTACTAGGCTGGAGGCCATCCCTAATA